TAAGCAAGTATTTCAGTTATTTTTTATTTATCATAAATTGCAACAAAATGCATGAGAAAATAATATATTCACCATTTCACTATGGAATACTTATAATTTCACTTTTTGGGTATAGAAATCAAATCAGCTGGGTTAAACTTTGTTGGATACCAATTCACTGCTTTTTACTTAGTGTTGACAGTTTGTCACTATTATACATAACATTGAAATGTCAATTCTTCACAGGTGGTAATGGATGGGTTCTGGTGTGACACTGACAGTGGGTGCTACATTATTTTAACACAGTCTGGGGATAACCACCTTTCCTGCAAGAAAAAGAAAGTTGGAAGAGTCAAGATAAATTCTAATATTGTAACCAGTGTTATGTCTAAATCATTTTGCATAGATCAATAAAAATATTTTTTTTTTAAATTTACAGGTGTTTGGGTAGTTTTTAAGACCTATGCGTTTTTTTATAAGAAACAGCACAACATCACCCAGAGTTCTTGAATTATATTTTGAAAAAAACGCCATAAAATTAATTCTGATATCCAACTAAAGCATTCTGAAACCCAGTGTGTGCATACAATAATACATAGACAACTGTTTCAAAACTAGAGAGGACAAACTGAAAACAATATAGTCAGCTATCTCAAGATAAGGTCATGTACAAGCATTAGTAATCCAAACACTCACCAACACAAATATGAAAAACAACCCAATTTATTTTTTCCCCTACTTTTATTTGCTTGTCAGTTTTTATTTTCCTGTGTGTATTTTTATTCTCCCTTTAATTGTTTGTTTATCTTTATTCACATCTGTATTGCATTTTAGTCAAAATCCTGATAAAGATGCGAACGCAATATAGATAATTATATACCCTATATATAAAATATGTTTTTGAAATGCAGTCCCTCACCCCCTTGGCTATTTTCGCAGATTTTTCGTCGCCGGAGCGATTCACGTCCCAAATTTTGGTTCTCTGGGCGTCTCTAATAAATACTCTATCTAACCGCTGGACTGAATTACCTGAATTATGAAAAATTCATAGAAGATTGGGCGAAAATCGGTCGTTTTTGGCCTCAACGTTTTTTTGCTCGGAAACGCAAGGGCGATAAGACTCGATTTTCAAGAATGCAGGTCGCTCGGATCGGACGGTTTCTATTGTTTCGAGTCTGTTGTGTGTCTAGAAACATAATAACTTTGTTTTTTGGTAAATATAGAACATGCTCTGTTCCAATAAAGGATTTTGATATGCAAATCAAACAATTTTATTAGTTCCTTATTGTAACGTCTCCCATATAAATAGTCCTGTACTCCCCAGAATTTGACAATGGTACTAGCCCAGAATTGACTTTCTGTTCAGCGCATCTTTGATTGTAGCAATGTTTACGCCACTGTACGAAAATACGCACACTCGCGAATTTGACAACATTCACTTGAGCGTTTTAGGATAGTGGGAATAGAAGCAAATAGATGGAAATGCCAGTTACGTCACTCATAAAGATTGATGATTCGATTGCTGGCCGGGATAGATGTATTTAGTGTTCATTTCTATGCATATTGTCTACACCTGCGATTCTCAATTTCGATGTGTAAAATCATATCGCTGCTGTGGACGGCGACGGGTGTTATGAAAACATAAACGGAGCCAAAAATGCCGAACGGTCCCAAATAAGTACAAAACGGACCCAAACGGACCCAAATAAGTACAGAACGGACCCAAACGGAACCAAATAAATACAGAACGGACCCAAACGGGCCCAAAACAATACAGAACGGACCCAAAAGAAACGAAAAACATGCAACATGTATTGGAACCGAAAGTGAGCCCTCAACGTCCGAGGTCATACCCTTCTAAATACAGGCCCTGGCCGGTTAATAATTTAGTAGATATACATCTAGATTTATTAACTGAACAAAATAAAATGTAAACATATTTGTTATGTTGCTTGTCAGAATAATAAATAAATTAAGGGTCATAAGCTGAGTTTGGTGTATTTTTGTTATGGTTCGGTTGTTAATTTATATTGTACAAATAATAATAAATAATAAAGATAATTTATTGCATCCTTAGAAATACAGTGTTTCCATCAGTTTATAGCAACCAAAGTGAGATATAAAAAAAATAACAAAATAACTATAGCAAATAATAAAAGAAAGATTTTAGTGTTTTTGTTAAGTATCTTTCTCGTTTCTCATTAAGAACGAGCTGTGTATAAATTCTCCAACAAGTTTAATTACATTTTTGTTAGAATTTTTCATTAAGTATGTAAATTTCTGTTGGTCAGTTTTGGTTCCATCAGGAAACATTATATTTAATAATATATCCATTCGCAATGAGTGATATTTTGGGCATTTGATGTGGAGATGCATTTCATCTTCTATGTTTGCTAAAGTACATTGTTTACAAATCCTGTTTTCCAAAGTAATTTTAGGTTGGGCATGTCTACTCTTTTCTATTGCTAGGCTGTGATTACTTGTTCGGAATCTAGAGACGGAAATTCTGTGTTTTAGATTCAGTATAGTTAAGTAACTTTCAAATGATGTTCTTATGAACTATGACCGGGTACAAAATATCCTGCTGTACGCGTTTCTCAGTACAGCCATGGCAAAAATATTGATTTGCAAGTATTTGCGAATTTATTTGCCACCTTGTTTAAAATCGGAATTAAATGTGTATAGCTCCACATAGTCTTCAAAACTACAATGCTCAAAGAGGCAATATGGATAACTTTGGGCATTTTGGACCAGTTTTCAAAATCGACATTTGATACTGCATTCGTTCGTAATCAACAATATTTGATTTTTCGTGAAATAAAAATCTACTGTTTGAAGCGATCTTAGAAGTATTCGTTGGCCAAAGAAAGGAAAAAATCGAGTGCGCGTGCGTACTATCAGTTTGATTTACCTATACGTATAGGCAAATCTGTTGGCACATGCGCACTCGATTTTTTCCGTTCTTTGGCGAACGAATACTTCTAACTCCTCTACAAAAAGTGGAATTTTACTTCACGATAAAGCATACATTTTTGATTATGAACGAAAAAGTATCAAAAGACAAATTTTAAAAACTGGTCCAAAAATTCCCAAAGTTATCTATATTGCCTCTTTAACTCCTGCGCCCCTGTAACACTTTATATGTAGTTTCACGGCGAAAATAGTATTGTTACTGCACACATTACGCTATTTGGCGTCCTTTTAAGTAAGCTCTAGATTGATCAACAGAAACCATATAACTGGATCGGCGGAGTGACACAACTAAAGTCAGTGCAGGCAAAATTACTACAGTTATTCGGTGAATTATTGTTCGAACAAAACAGATTGTCCCCGTGACCGTATTGATAAACACGCACAGCATGTTTTTTTTTATAACCGGCCAAATTTCATAAGGACGTCACTAGTACTAGCCGGACCATAAGAAAAATAGCCATCAGACTCAGCTTATGCCCCTTTATATCATCCTAACGAACGCGTTTTTTAGAATTGCAACCTTATTTTAGTATCTGTACCGATTTTACTAGTGTCATATTCCATGGCCCCATAGCAATAACGTAAATGAAACAGACACAATATTTCAAGATAATAAATGATTGATTTCTACATTACCCTTTTCTGGGAAATGCAGTAAAATGGTACGTATTCTTATTGCTAAAGTAGAACAAAATGTCGAGTAGGTGCCTTTGCAATCATATTATACGTTTAGCTCTGTTTCCATGAATAGTCCTGTTTATGTCAAAAAAACGGCAACTGAAAGAACTCATCAAAACTACAGTATTTATTTCACAAGTACCGCTTTTATAAAATGTTTTCCTTGAATATGTGATGTTATTTTTCCTAGTTACCATTCTGCTGATTCTCTACGCGAAACAAGTCTGAAATCGGTCCATCTAAATTAGAAACAAAGACTCAACGTCTGGCCGTTCCTTGATTACAGTATTTTGACCAAGCATAGTAAAATGTATTGTCCTTAGATGAGTTGTTGAACTTTACAAACATCTTCTATAATTTTATTCAGCTTCTTGGTCACATTCTCACCATTCAAGACAACACAAATATAGATAATTATGGTTCATGTAATCGGAAATTATCAAAATAAATCATTGGTTTGATTATTCATACATTTAGTTATATTTCCGAATTGTATGATCAAAACCAGAAAGAATTTCACGTCGTGAACGGCAAGTCTTTATTGCATAGTTGGGCATGTATAAGAAGGAATCTTAAAGTGCCTGTGAAATGCCTACTATTTTATGGCTTATATTACACTTGAAATATATACTAGTATGAATCTTAGTAGTTGTATGATCACAGAAAATAAATTTAACGCCCAAAAGTGCTTTTTAGTTACCCCTTGCCACACAGCCTATTGCACGGTCGCTGAGCTAATTAAATATTCATTACATTTGCTTAACGAAAATACCATGGTGACGTCACCATGTGCTAACGTACTGGCAACACGCAATGGAAGTCGTTCGTCCAAGCAGTGTTTCATCGTCGATTTCGTCCTTGTCTGATGACACAGACACTTCAAATTTCTTAGATTATGAGAATGATCAATGGTCTACGGGAATGATGGGTGAAGTTGGGCCATATAGGTTTGAACCTTACGCAAAAGGCGGAAATTCTGACGACGGCTCTACTGCCAGCGAGGCTGGCTCCAGCGACAATGAAAGCGATGACGTTCAGCACAGAATAGAAAATACGCATTGGTAAGCACCATTTTCCGGTTTCATGGGTCAGTAATAGAATTTCATTCGTTTTTGGGAAGGAATGATTGTCCCGAACGTGGTTATTCCGCATGCTAATGTCCGGGGTTAATGTGAGCGTTGTCTGGAAAGCGTGGCCTGTACCGACAGCAGCCATTTTGTTTACATAATAGTTTATGTACTTGTTGTAATAACGGGAGACACTTGAGTTGATAATCAAACATGTAAATAAAGGCCACAATACGTAGTTCTAGTGCGATTGGAGAGGAGTCCACATAGCTGTCGACTGTTTTTGCATGTTTGGCATATATATACTTATATTTATTTTTACATACAAAATTTTATGTTCAAAATTTTGTTTCCCGAAATCATCCTCCAAAAAGAACGAACGTCTGGCGGTTGTAATAGTACAGTCAATTTATTTGTTTTATCCAAATAGGTGCACTTGTAGTAACTGTGTTGTTATGCCTACTGCAATAGAGTGCGTTTATTGCCGTGGCTTATCACAGGTTACGCTCAAGATGGAGGGGTGTCAGCATGAAGTCAGTTGTATTGTAGAGCATCCGGGGTTTGTATCTGTGTGTCTTGATGTGTGGGTGTTACAAACTGCTTATTATCAGTATATGCAACAATATGGTGGGACACAAACTGAAGACGAAAATAGGATTCATGAGTAAGTAAAAACTTTTGACTTGACAAAAGTATATATATTTATTTATTGACACACAATGTGACCCAGTGGCCTGCCAATATTAGTAGCTGATAATAGCAAAAATGTTGTTCTATTTTCCTTTCCTTGACCATGAAACACAAATTTCCTGTCATTAAATTTATCTCACTATAAATATGTTTTCTTTATTACAGAAAATACAGATATATTGCATATCGACAACTAGTGAGATGGTGTTGGGGTTACTTAGGAAAAGATGTAAGAGTGACATTACCAGCCTGTGCAGTTCAAAAAATAAGACAGACTTTTCAATCTGAAATTTACAGAGGGTTTAAGTTGCCACAACTACGTGCATAAAGGTGTATGATGCTACACACAATTATTTACAAAATATTTATTACACAATGTTTTAAATTCTATTTACACTAGACAACAATGCCCATTATAATTTTATTTAGAATATCTTGTGATGTGTTGCTGAACAGCATCATCTTTTTTAGTTTGGTAAACTGGCTGTTTAGTGGTTC